ATTTAGGAGGTTTTAGGGATTACACAAAGGAAATTTGAGAATTTTTATATGAGGAAAAGTATTTTCAATTTTTACATGAAAATTACTATGTGCACGACTATTCAAAAAAAAAAAACTCAATATATTAATGAACAAATATTTACTTCAATAACAATATGATTTTTTGTATGTGAAAGATTTATAATATTAACTGAAAGACTGCCAAACTTTGTGAAGATATACACACTATATTGAAAGTAAGAAGTATTAAATCTATAAAGACTTTAAACGAATAAAAAGAGGTCACGTGGTTGGTCAAATTGACAGAGCCTGTGTTGAGAGAGTTAATAATGAAATAAGTTTTTAAGTATCTATTACTTTGCAAAAGAAACAAATTTTTGAATATAGCAGGAAACTTTACTATCACATAAAATTAAGATGTATATAGCATAATTTTCATAGCCTTCAATCTTATTTGGTTACAGAATCATGAAATAGACAATCAGTGTCACAATCTCTCTTTCCGAAATTGCCAATAGTTCTTTCTGCTATTCAATACTACATTATTTATAACCATTAGAAAGCCAGTTTTCATCTATCAAATGATGTATTATATTACATTGTTTTCTGTAAGGAGAATTGTAAAATTACAGAATGTTAGAAATTCAGTTTAACCCTATGTGCATAGATGGGGTCAAGTGCACATGCCATAATCTTTTACAGTGTGTCATTCAACATAGTTTTACATATTTGATGTTAGAGAGTTATCTATTTGTTTTACACTTCATTGATGATTAGTGACACTTTGTGGTAGAGAAGAGTAAATACCAGACACAATATACAGGGATACTGGAAAAATTATAAATGTTCATTTTGGAGATTCTTGAGGTTATTCAAATACAATATGATAACTGGACAAAAAAATATTTTTATTCTTTTCATGAGCATCACCTTGCACCCAGATTTGTCAGAGTACAAGTCAAATTTGTGTTGGCAAATCACAGAACTATCTTGGACACGGATATGTTTGTAACACATTTTTTTTTGTGTGCCTAACAGACATGTACATTTAACTAAAAACTTGCCACAATTTGTGTAGATACATGTAGTAAATTTGGAATTATTGGTTATGTAACTTTGTTAGAATTGTACTTTGCGTTTATACTTCATTGATGTTGATGCTATCAAATGTCGTGTGTAATCCATTGATGTTGAGGATATAGATATTTCTAAAAAGCCTAAGTGATAGACATATAAATAGCAGAAAAGAGTAAAGTCATGGAAAGTAGAAGTTCGGTCAGAGAAAAGTTAAACGTAACGTTAATCATCGTAGGAGTGAAAGGCCTAAAGGCTGGTATGCTAGAGTGAGACTAACAATTTCGTAAGAGATAAGGGGAATAAGTTGTCTCATCATTGGGTGCTCTAAAATAATTGAACCAGCCTCTGTAGACTTTAATAAATGGCAGACGATTCGACAATGGTAACTCAACGACAATGTAAGTGAACTATACATGGATAGTTTTGCGATAGAAATAGTTCGGATTATCAACTGAATTCTAAAGCAAATGAATAGGCCTAAGTGGACTTTTGACAAGAAAAAGATACAACTATGATCTCCATATTATAAGGAATTTTTGTACATATATTTAACTAGTTCGAATATATATATATATATATTAATTTTTAAAACAAGTGGAGAGCGCACTGTTCATTAATTTTTTAATTTATTACCAACAAGTCACAAACACATACTCTAGAAAAATCTTTAGCCCAACACAACCATTTATTTAACTTACATTACTATATATATTTCTACTAAAAAAATCAAAGTTTCCTGACAATGGGCCTAGGCACAAAACCAGTGCTTTTGATTATTTTACTGCATGTTTTTGGTTTGATATTTTACATGCTTGTTAATGGTAATTATCATCTTTTATTAAATCTAAAAGTTTTAAAAAATAAAGAAAAGAGATAAATCCCTTCTGCATGAGCAGTGTTTGTTTACTGAATGGAACATTTGTTGTTATAATGTTACAGTTTTTGCTACATAGTTTCAAAGGCACAAAGACATGTTGTTAAAAGCTTTATTGCAGAATTGTTTGTTATGACAAAGACAGGGTGAGTAATTTTGGTGGCGATGAGAATCAAAGCACACGCCTTTCTTTTCCCAAAGTCACCAAAGCTCAACAAACTTTGAAGTAAACAGCGTGTAAAACTAAAATTGTACAGAGTACTGGCCCATTTGAAAGCTTTGTGCTTAACAGCAAACAGGCATAAAGCAATATTTTGCTTACTTGGATAGTTGTAATAATTGGGAATCCTACTTTTGATTAGTTGATTTATTTTGTGACAGTCAATTTAATTGTAACTTTGATTAGTACATCATTGGAATAATCAAGAACAGTAACAATTGGAAACACTAATTTTGGTTAGTTGATTATTTTTGTGACAATCAATTTAATTGTAATTTCAGTTAAATGATTAGCCTATGTGCAATTAATCAGTGTAATTGTGGGTCTGGTTAGTAGCTCAAAAAACGATTATTAATGGATTACAACTCTTCAAGCACTATAGGCTGGTCATTTTGACCAACCTTGTAACTGTGAAGTTATACATACTATAACTGTGAATATACTAAGTGTTTCTCCATAAAACTTGGCAGGAGTTTAGCAAACATTATAAATCTGTTGAACACAAAAAAAATAGATTTTTCAATTTATGTATTTTATTTTGACTAAAGATTTGCCTGTGAAATTACTGAATCAGTCTGAGTACAAGACAATGTTCATGTTAAGAATAAAAGTACTTTATCATCTTGTATTTTTCATATTTCATTTACAAACCTTCAGAACCTCATAAATGAATATCAAAAAAATTTTCAAGCAAAGATGTATTTTAACTGTTATTTTCTTTACCCTAACACCAATAGCAAAAGCAGTAATGTATGGTAAAAAGAAAGTTGAAAAAATACTGAATCTAAATTACTTTTTTTTTCTTTTCTTTCTAGAATGACTACATTTTGTAACGAACATTTACATATTTGTTCTTATACCCAAAGCTTGTACATTTGTCACACCTGGGCTCATTTAGTTTTATTACTTTATAGTTGAATAGTCTCAGAATATGCTGAAAGCCATTTATCACAGCCATCAGTCACATATTTTGACATGGAATAGCACGTTACGTAGAATATTGAGTGCCATGAAAAATTTCATTTAATTTTTTTCTTCATTTAAGTTTTCATGTCTAACCTAATATGTTTCTAATTTTTGCATTTTGGTTCCTTCTATAACAGTAAATAAAAAAATATACATAAAAATTAACAAATCTAGTACTTATGTTTCTACTCTGGATTTCTGCTATTGACAGATAAAGTACTGTTGGCTTACTTTTTTGTAATGGTGTAGATTCAAAATAGTAGTTTGTGTTTCAAATTGCAATTTTCAAACAGAAAAAATAGAATGTCCTAAAACTACTGAGTTAACTGGCTTTGTAAGTAATCTATGTATAGGTTTATTAGCTTGTTGAGTTGAACATCACGAAGACACAATGAAACTGAGTCTAAATATTTCCTAACCTGTACCTAAAAAAAGTTATCCTTCTAATGAACTTAATAAAGAACAAATTTCTATTCCTATTGGCCATAAATAATCCAATTGTAAATATCAGAAAATTATTGACATTTTTTTGGAAGATAGGATGAGATAGAAGGGGCATTACATGTGGGTTTGACTTACTAGTTTATATTTCAGTAAGGCAAGACGCTTATGAATGTACATTATAGCTTACCGATATCTATAGTACAAATGTCTAATTGGTGGCACACTTAGAAGATCATACAAGGGTAGAAAGATTTAAAAACAGACAAATCAGAATGAAGAATCATCATGAGATACATAGAAGTGAAGGTTGAGAACTTATTTAAATATTTACTTTTGAAATTAAGAAATTAAAACATATATTACAATTTGAATTATAATCTGTGTTTGATGCCAAGTTTGACATACACTGATAATAGTTGTTTAATTAAATTTGAAATGTAAGTCTTAAAAAAGTCTCTAACTTTTATTAAATGTACTTATTAGTAAGTTTTTTGTTTTTTACATTTAACTAAATGTAAGCAAAAATTAGTCATTTGTTCACTTGTTACGTGGAAAAGGATGTTGTTACATATTTTCCAAGTTTCTTTACATTTTTTTATGCGTTATTTTGATCCAAAGGACATACAATGACAGTGATGAAAATTTGTACCAATATCCTGTAATTGATAATATCAGCCTAAATAACTAGAACAAAATGAAAGTGCATAATGATATATTATAGGGCTCATTTTTCCTAACAAGAAAACTGAAGGAAATATTTTATGCTCCCTTTTCTCACTCTACTTAACAAGGTAAAACATTTATGATAATTTATACAAACATTTAGACCACAAAGAAAGTTAACTGTGAAAATATAGAATCATAATCTGCTTTACCTTCAATGACTTATTTTTTTTTTTTAGTTCTAGCCTTTGCCACTTAAGTAAAAAATTTTCAGGGTTTTTAAAACGTTATGTGGAAGTTAATTTTGAATAATATGATGCTTGTACTTGTAGTTATGTTGCAGGGGCAAAAAAACATAAAGTAGGTTGTCACAAAATAAGTATAATGTATGTGTGGCTTAAGAACTGTGTTTTGAGGAAGCCATAAACAGACAACTAGTTCTATTATTTGCCTTGTTGTAAAGTCTTCCTTTCTTAAAACTTTACACAATGTTATCCCTACTTTTTTTGTAAGCATGCTACATGTTCTTAAAACTGGTTGTGGATTAATAAACCAGGTACTTCATAATTCTCACTAATGTTGAGAGACAAAAGTAAATTGTAATTTGTCATTGTATTTTTGCAATCCTTTTTTTTTTTGTGATGACAAATAACTATATCAAAGTTAGCAAAAATGTCATAACTCTACTAGTTTCCACTTGTAAGTATTTGATCATTATAGTCAGTAGCCTATATAATCACATAAATCTAATTTTTAGATACTGAAATTATTTTTAATATTATTACTACTACATACTAATTATTAATTACTTTATATCCTATATTTTGTTGCTGTTTCTACTGACATCTTTAAGGAAGTCCTGAAAAGAACTGTATATTAGGATTCCATTGTGGGTCTGCTTGTCAGAAAGGCTGGTGTGATATCCACTCATTTTGGGGTTTATCTTTAGGACTTAAATAAACTATTTGTGTGTATATATGTATGTATGTATGTATGTATGTATGTGTGTGTGTGTGTGTGTTAAGGATTTATTTTATTTTTTCACCAGAGGCAGGCCTGCCAACAGGGGGGGCAACTGCCCAGGGGCCCAGGTGAATGGAACTTGGTTATGCCGTAAAGCTCACAAAGCATCTTTAGGCTATATCTTCATTTAATGCTAAAAACCATAGCTTTTCTTTGCATATAGATGCTTGATACATTAAGAACGACTGAAATAATAATTTGAGTGATAATTAATATGTATTTGTTACTTTATTAGCATTTTTATGCTTATACTGTAAGGTAAAAATGGCTGCTGCTATGATTTTGTGTGGTTTATGAGCTCGTTGCTGTCCTAATTTATGATCTTCTTTTTAATAAATTCTTGAAAATGTTAAGAGAGAGAGTGAGAGAAAGGGAGCCCGGCGAGGATGTTTGCCCCCGGCTCGTGCTGGCTCCCAACATTCCTGACCAAAGGGGAAGTAAAACAGAAGTCAAGACACTATAGAAATTAACTATTATATTGTGTTCAAGAGAGTATTTATGTTTTGCTGACTCGTATGTAAAGTTTATTGGGTGCCTTATCAGTTAGATGGATGTAGAATGCTTCTCTTAACTTTCTTTTCTCATTGGGTAATATTTCAATAATATAACATTTTATATTCTCTTGTTGTCTTCCTTGGTATAATGGGATACTGCAGATAATTTCTATTAAAGATTTATATTTCTATTATGCTTCTAAATTTCACGGTTTTCTTCTGTGTATTGAAGTCCACATTCACAAGGGATTTTGTAAGTTATGTGTTTGCTCTTCATTGGGTCTTTATTTGGTTTGGTGTATGCTTACTGCAATCCTGTTGTGTTGTGACTTTTTAATGCTGTTTTGACTTTATGATGTTTAGCTGTCCTTTCTGTTTTCACAATGACTTTTGACATAAAGGATAATGGTTGTATGTCTGTTATTTACTTTCTTCTTAGTCTTATTGTTTATCTTCTTTTATATAGTAACTAATTAACAATAAGACTCAGATGATCATATAGGCTACTAACCACGACAGTGACTGATATTTGGTTACTACCATCTTAGCGTAAGTACTTTTAAGAATTGTACTCTGAAGCATGATTTGGTTGTGGTAGTCCTAATAAGCACTAAATAACTTTGTGTTTGTAAAGTTTGTTATTGACTGGACATAAAAGTGTATCTTTGCATAGATAAAATTAAATGTAACTTTCAGAGGTTAGGCTATGTTTACATTCTTCTGTTTTTAGCAATAGATATTGTGAAAAAATGTGACTCATTCTTTCAGACAAAAAGATATCTGAAGTAGTTTATCTGTATTATAAAGCATCATTGATTCTAAAACATTAAACTATTGTCTTTCAAAATCTCTTTTGATCTTGAAATTCATTTTTCCTGGTATTGTAAAAGACTGGAATATTATAGTTTCTCATAGAGTTTATTTTTATCTTAAAGTTGTTTTTTGTTTTGTTTTTTCCTAGGGCTTATATTTGTAGTGGATAGTAACGACAGAGAAAGAATAAGTGAAGCAAGAGAAGAACTCATGCGCATGCTAGGAGAAGATGAGTTAAGGGATGCTGTCCTATTGATCTTTGCAAACAAACAGGTATTTAGGTCATCATTATGAATGACTAGACTGTGCATTATTAAGCCTACTGAGAGGCTGTATGTGCAAGTTTTAATAGGTGTTTCAAGCAAACCAGCATCATTTATTTGATTCTAAAATGACTCACTTGTGATATATATCATAAAGGTTGTTCTCTTCTATGGTAACAGTTTATTTGAATTTCTGCTTCTAACCTTGTGGTCTTTGGCTACCTAGGCTATAACCCCTTTCACTGCAATTCATTATAAGTGGGGATATTTCCAAGTGCAGATTGTGACTAAAATTTACCTCTTTTTGGAAGTGTGATTTAGAGAACCTTCTTATGTGAAGTTCTATTATATCATTATGAAAGCATGCAGTCATGAAATGTTTGCATTTAAAAGAAAGGAATATTGGTACAGTTGCACCTCCCAAATCCGGCAACCTTAGGACCCGAGCCTTGTCGGATCTTGGAGTTTGCCAGATTTTGAGTGATTGTATTATAGTTGTACATAAATGGGGAGGAAAAAAAAATGAAAGAAAACTACATTTCTATACTGCATTTTATTGTACTTAGTACTGTACACTGTATTCTACATCAAGAGAAAGGTATTTTATTGTAGGGTAAAAAATAAAGTAATAAGTATGGTATGGTACAGTATTTTTATTGTATTATTTCTTGAAAAGCTGCAGACTCATCTAAAAAAAAAAGAGAGAAATATATTACATTTCTTGGACACTATTGTACTTTATTCATTTCTGTCAAGACTTCTTGAACCTACATGTTTTTCTAACATCATGAATTTACTTTATTGTATTGTACACAGTATTTTACATCGAACAGAAAAGACATAAGCATGGTTAAAACATTTTACTGTAAAGGTAATATATGTCCATTTTCTTAAAATTAGCTGGAAAATGGGTGGTGTCGGAAAAGGGATTGCCGGGTCTGGAAGGTTTGAGTGTAATAGTTAACTGTAAAGCATGATTCCATCAACAACCAAAAAACAGGTTATTCTACAGACTGTAAGTTTTACTCTGGTGGTAGTAAAGAAAGTTAATGTTTATCACTGGAAGCAACTTAAAAACACAGCAGTCAGTTGCACTTACAATTGTATCTTCCCTAGAACTTTAAATTCACTTGAATTTATATTTACACAAGCAATACAAATGTCATGTTCTTGAGATTATCTGAAAGCACATAGTCAATTGGCATACAACTGTTGAAAGTTTTACAGATGGCTTATATGTGTAAGATAAATGGAAGTATGCCATCAAATTGGATTAAACATATTTCTTTGTAAGCATTGCAACAGAATCAAAGTAATTTAGTATCATTCTATACGTGATACAACATAAAAAGTTAAATGCATCTTTTGAATGTTTGTTTTTCAAAGGATTTAGATTTATGGTGGTTGTGGGTTAGCTTTTATAGTAACACAAACATCCTTAGACTAAAGACAGATATCTAGCTGTGCATACTATGAGGTTAATGTGTATATTAACATAATACTCTGAAGAAGTACCATCTATGTATGGACTGGAAGCTATACTTTCACACACACGTGGGAACTCGTACTATATCACTGACAGACATTTCTCATTGACTTCTGTGTTTTGGTTTGAGGACATTTTGAAAGAATGTAAAAAGGAAGGAGGACAATATTAATCCCAATGTATTTTGGAAAAGCCTCCTGCAATGAGCATTGCACTGCCTTAACAACAGTTCATAACCAAGGATTTATCACAACGAACATCATCACTGGTGATGGAAGAATGGGCTGTAAAGTCCAGACACTCATCTTAATATTATTACAATAAATAGTGAACATTGCTTTGTATTATTTAGAAATTGTATTTTTATGGGTTGTTAGGTGGGTTGAACTTGGTAAACCAATATAATTCCTATAACTAATCATGGTTATTTTTCTTCAGGACTTGCCCAATGCTATGAATGCAGCAGAAATAACGGATAAACTTGGACTTCATTCATTAAGAAATAGGAATTGGTACATCCAAGCCACATGTGCAACCAGTGGGGATGGTCTCTATGAAGGCCTGGACTGGCTATCAGGCCAGTTGCGAAATCAGAAATGATGGATCTAAATTGTTATTCTAATCTAGTTACACATTTTATTTTATTTTTTCAACTGTTTGACATTGTCATCAGGATATTCTACTATAGTATTATTTGATTCATCCATATTAGAAATAATTTAAACAAATCTGCTCCAGCCAGATAACAGCCACATTTTTTAACTTTTTCTTGAAGTAACATAAGTTTAATGGTCAGTTCTATCACCATTTACCCTTTTAGTTGACTTTGTGATGTTTTGATAAGAAAAATGTGAAATTATATTTTATAAAGTATGTTCCTGTACTATAAAAAATTTTGTATTTTCTTCTATAGTTTCATTCATTATATTTAGCTCTTGTTTTCTTTTTTACTGCTTTAACTGAGTTCAAAAATATCTAAACTTTTATGTTCCAGGAACAAAACTGTACAGAATCTTGAGGAGGCCTAGTATTAAACATTAATTATGTAAATACTAAATACCAGTACTTGTTTTTTTATTTTTCACCCCTTTTCATTTACGAGAAATTATCTCATTGCCAAGAGCCCGTAATATAAACGTATGGAACATGTTTGGTAAAGAACCTCCCAGTGAAGGATGCCAAGGAAACTAAAAGTTTGATTGAGGTGTTGTTATTCCACCAAGTCAAAATGTGGGGCAGTGTAACACTAATCTGTACTTGAAAACTTGTGTTTCTGATAAATAAAGCGTTTGTCCTTGTGTATGTTGTGATGGTGTTGTTTTAGAACTGCAGGTTTTGGGTCACTTTTTGTCACAGTTTCTTCCCATTGAAAAAAAAGGAAAAAAATTAATCATTTATTTATTTAAATAATTATTTCCTTTGCTCATTTGTTGTTTACAACAAAATAAGTAAATTTCTAATCTTATTTTATTATGGTTAATGTAAAAATTCTAGAAGAATACATGTAACTTTTAGTTTGTATCATATCAATAGAATTATTAATATTAAGAGTATGATGTAGTAGTTAAATAACAGTCATGATTCAAACTGTAAAATCATATAAACCTTCCAAACTACAAAATTTAAAAGTGTTTGGAAAGGGTTTGTTTTTGTCATAAAAATGTCTAAGCTCCGTTTATCTGATCAGTTAGTAGAACAGTGATTTTTAATCAATATTTAGTATATGAGATTATCATAAGAAGAAAATCTGGATTTTTTTTTTTAAATTGGAGCTAGTTTTTAAAGTTTACAATACATGTATAAAATATGAAGTTCATATTTATGCTATATTTTCTTGCAGTTAATAAATTATTAGTGTGTTATACCAAGATATAAAAGTAACATTTTCGAACTATCATTACATCGGTCATTAATGATGTAAATAGTAGAAATTAAAGAAATTTCTTGCAATTATTGTGAAGGAAAGGTAGTGAGTATATTGCTTCTCTTTACATTATTTTGTTTTGGCAATGATTTATTTCTTTTCAATACACTTAAAAATTTCATGAGAGAGGGATATTTTGTTAATCTTCTAAAATGAATATTCTCAAAGAAATATTGTTACATTTAAATATATTGAGGCAATGGTGTGTTTTAATAATTTATTATTATAGAATATATATTTAAAAAATGCAAGGCTGGTTAAAAGCTCAAAATATATTAAATGCTCTCTTTTGGCTTTAAGTTTTCTTTATTTCTGGGTCAAGCTTGTCCTAGTGGGTAGAAAGGACTGTGGATCTAAGTGTCCGTGAGTCCTGTTTCCTCGAAATTGTGCTGTCCACTTTGGGATCATGGGTGTAATATAACAGTGATGGTCAAATTATATTTTGATTAGAATAACCCAAGAGTTTTTGGTGGATAATATTGACTAGCTGCATTCCCTCTAGTCGTATCAACTCAAAATTAGGGATGCCTAGCTCAGATAGTTAAAATAGCTTTGTTCAATTTCTCAAACAAAGTAAAACCTTGCATTTCATGTCAGTCTTGCTTGGTAAGGTTTAAGGCTGTTTAGTTAGCATTTCTATAAATAGAAGCATCTATATATATAGACACATATTTACAAGTATGTATAATTTGCATATTAAAATATTTATCAATCATTGACAGACTTAAATATGAGTTGTTATATACTTCTTAAGTTGCTTTGATTTAAAAAAACCAGCAATAAATACTTTCCAATTGATGAAGGGTTTCAGTGGATAACCAGCTGGTGAAAGGGTAGAGGGAGGATTTGACTACTAATGTGTGTATCTTTACTTTCTTAGTTTGAAGAGAGAGAGAGAGAGAGAATTTAATGTGGTGAGATATGTTTGTATCAGTACTACAGGTTAATTTTTTTTCTGTTTCTTTTTTTCTCATATATATATATAGTATTTTTTTGTACACTTTGTACGATTATGAGGTAACAATTTCTGTAGTTGCCAGAATGAGGGATGTGCACATTGTAATGGAATTTATAATTTGGTTAGCCTTGACATTGTAAGGTTAAATGTGAGATCTAACATTTATACATTTAGAGTTAATAAAGTATAAATTGGAAGTGACTAGTTGATTATGGTGCATTATAATATTGTTTTAGTTTTCGTATTTTTTCAACATGTATATATATATATCTATACATAATAATGTACATACATAAATATCTATTAGCATATAATAACTTGGTTAGAATTATGCTACAAGATATCCATAAAATAAAGAAACGTGTGATTTATAGACATTAAATATATATAAACATGAAACAGAAACAAGTAAAACAGTTGACTCTTACTTACCAAAGGACATGTACCTTAACCTTCAAACAATCTTTGATCACTGTAATCAGATTAGCTGAACCTGAGGTACTATATTTAGTACCCAGTTTTCCTTGAAACAAAATACGTTGTGTATATTACAGAAAACTTACTATTATATGCTCAACGTTTGTGCTTCTTTGATAGCAACATACAGGTACACAGATGGATGTGTAACAATTTGAAGGTATGAATATTATTTTACTCAGTTATTATTTAAACTATTTTCTCAAAGCTATTAAGAATTTGAACGTATTTTATTAACTTAAGACAGTTGATATTGTATTAAATTTATTTATTTGGATTGAGAATTAAATGGGTTAGTGTATCGGATAGATTCAAAGTCGAAACGTGATGCTGGTTTTAATATGTTCTGCGTTTTCAGCTGTGGGCGCGTTACAAACCCTAGCATTCATTTTAGAAAGCCTGACAGAGCGGGTATTTAGCGGCTCATTGAACGACTCTTTGAGTTTTTTTTTTTGTTGTTTTTTTTTCAAATACAAAGTTTTACCTCATAGCTCCGTCATCTCTTGTCAGATTTGAGATATAATTACAGCTTTGTACTCCGGAGGTTAAACCCTATCGATTGAGATCCTGATGAGTAATAAAATCGAATGACGTTTACATGCGCCCCACGCTTGGTTTTGCTAGCGCACAAAAATATAGCTATTAAAAGGGGGGGGGGTCTCGTAGATTAATTTACTCTAATCCTGACTAAATGAATTTCAAGTGCCGCGGCCATGGAGGATTCCCTCTTGTTTATTCTGACTAGCTTCATTCCTTCTAACCAGTAGTTCCAAATTAGCATGGGCTATGTCTGAACCTTAGGGTTTCGGACCTTGCTGTTTAGCACAGATATTCAGATTGAAAATACAAATTTGAAAATTAAAAGTGGAGTAAGTGCAAAATAATGAATATGTAAACAAGTCTAGTATTAGTTATATTATTTAAATTCGGTATCATAACGAAAAAGTAATTATACGAATATCATTTTATTTGTAAAATTATTTCGTTATGTTATAAAAACATTTCGATTAAACTCCATTTTTTTCACAATACTATCGGATTCCATTACTGTGTTTATTAACGATAATTTGAAATTGGCAATGATTCAGTCAGGAATTCAAGACGTTTGCCCAGGTTTTAGTACCATATGATTGCTGATTTTTATAATGTAAAGGACCAGGTTACATCAGAATCAGGTAACGAGCAGAAATCCAACCAGAACAAGCTATCTAGTTTATGAATGATAAAGATCTGTGCCTATTTTGTATGGATTTACCATAACATTTCATTTTGATGCCCTGCTTTCTCAAGCTTGTAGACAACACAGTCATGATCTTGGTGGGACCACGTGAAGCACTGTTGAATGTTAACTGTTGCGACTATACACTGCGAACAGTAATGTGTAAGTTGCGCTGATAATTGAGCCTCCATTATGAGCATTATTAGGGTTGGCGAGAAACTAATTGAGCATTGCCCTGTTGTTTCGCGTGCTGTAAGCAATATTAAAGATCGTTACAATAATTTCGGTAGTCATTGGCAAATTTCGATAGTATCTTCTTCATTCCTTTTTGACTATCGCGAGCGACTGGCGATGTTATGAAATGATTCTCATCTTCACCATGTTCAGGAACTGACGTAGTTTTGGAAACAAGCGTTTGTCAAAGTGTTTTGGTTGTTGTACAGGATACTTAGCTGATATCCTGAAACGAGCGTTAAACTCGTATATAAACACATTAGCTCTAGTTTAGTTGTTAGTGTCACAGCGGTATAAGCCTCATCTCCCTTCATAATTGACCAGGTGGTTAGGGCGCTTGACTCGCAGGTTCGAATCCCCGTCCCACCAAACATGCCCGTTCAGCCGTGGGGCGTTATAATGTGACGGTCAATCCCTCTATCGGGAAAAGAGTTGGCGGTGATGACTAGCTGCCTTCCCCTCTAGTCTTTCACTGATGTTAAATTAAAGACGGCTGGCTTTGCGAGAAATTCAAATCAAACAAAAAACACTTGATAATTTATTATATGACCAACAACAGATACTTATTACATCATTTAATCACGGAATGTAATTGGCAAGGTCTCATTCACCGAATCCTCTGTTTCTAGACTCCCCGTGTCTGTCCTATACACAACACCACCTGTCTTAAAACAGCCAACTGAGATGTCAAACTGACTGGAATGTCAGAAACATCTTGATATTCTTTAGCCTTAGTATGATTGACCATTTCCAGGATATAATTTCTCAAACTGCCTTTAACTACTTACTGTATGTTTGGTAAGTGTGTATGATAATCGTGAACCCAAAACCGGCAAAACATTTTATTCCCTATTTCCAAAGCTTTTTTACTGGCCGTGACTTCCCTTCTACTTCAGCTGTATCAGCCAGTCTATTCTAGGTCAACAACTCAACCTTAATCTAGTTTCAGAGTTGTTTTAGCCAAGTGCTAATTCCTCGTGAGAGCTTGTAAGGGCTTTGTAAATGGTAACTGCCAGGGAGAATATTCTTTCATCCTAATTTTGAAAGATTGGACTTAACTCGAATGGTTGTTTTAGCCAAGTGCTAATTCCTCGTGAGAGCTTGTAAGGGCTTTGTAAATGGTAACTGCCAGGGAGAATATTCTTTCATCCTAATTTTGAAAGATTGGACTTAACTCGAATGGTTGTTTTAGCACTTTGCCAGGGAGAATATTCTTTCATCCTAATTTTGAAAGATTGGACTTAACTCGAATGGTTGTTTTAGCCAAGTGCTAATTCCTCGTGAGAGCTTGTAAGGGCTTTGTAAATGGTAACTGCCAGGGAGAATATTCTTTCATCCTAATTTTGAAAGATTGGACTTAACTCGAATGGTAAGTAAGATATTGAAATTACGATGTAGCTTTTCTAGCCAGGATTTAACTGTGTAGGTGTATTATTGCAGTATTGAATTACATCTGGTATCAACATCCTTATTTTACCATAAAAGTTCTA